ACCTCGATTCACATGGGCCGTGGTATCTTCTGCGCAGGACCGTCGTTGAGACATTACGTCACGCAGAAGATTGGCTGAGAGCATGAGCTTTCCTCCTCAGATGGATTCAGCTTTTAACAGTGGCTTTCTGTTTTGGTTCGTGAGCCACGAAGTCTCGCACTGTTTTCCAGTTGTCTTTGGATTGCAGCATAGTATGGGCTGTGTTTGCAGGCGTTAATTCCCGTCGCAATTTGCTGTAGCAGTTTCTTCTTTCTTCTTCCCAAGCTTTGCTACTATATATGGTGCATAGCATCGTCGTCTTCATTGCATTGTGCACATATCAGCCTTTTTAAATCTCTATAGATATGCTTGAAAGTTCCCATGCCCTGAGAAGGCTTGCGTCAAGTAGAAGTCCATTGTGCCATGGTTCCTGCTGGACCAATCCTTCGTGTTAGGGACGAGGCTGTGTGTCCATCTACCTTTGTACTCCAGGTCCCATCGGTTTTGCCACTTGTGCAGGAGATGGTTTCTCAATTCCGCTTTGATATTGTCTTTTTGACAGGGTTTGTTGTTTATCTTCTGTCGTCCTCAGGTACATTGTCCTCCTTTCCTGGGCTAAAAGGTCCACAGGGGGGACACTAACCTATACTAAAGCTGCACTGTCGAATACCGTGCGATATCCTGAGATTATCCTTAGTGCCATCCTCTGGATCTGTGTGAATTTCTGTCGAACGGACTCTAGCTAACGCATCTGCCCACACTGGGGCGGCATACAGCAGTTTTGTGTGCGCTACGGCAGAAATTAACTTTCTTTTGCTTTCGCCGAGACCTCCTGAGTTCAGCATTAGTCTGGAGAGATTTGATCCAGTCTTTGCAGCGTTTCCTGCTGATTTTATAATATGGTGTCCGAAGCTCAATCGTGAATCAATTTCCACCCCCAGGTATGTAGTATGCCGTTTCCATTGAATAAGTTCCTCCCCCCAGTCGGATCACCGGGGGGTGGAATGCTCTGCGATTTGTAATCAACACGGCCTCTAGGCAACAGCCATCTGCAGATTTCGTTGGTCCAACCATCTTTTAACCCTGCGTAGTGTTTCGTTGGTCTTCATTTCCAGTAGTTCCATGTTGCCACAGTGGCATACAATTAGTGTATCGTCGGCGTAACCAATGAGACTGGAGTACTTTGGGAGTTCGATATTCAGCAGGTTGTCATATAGAGTATTCTACAGGAAGGGGCCCAATCTTGATCCCTGTGGAACACCGCACGTCATGTCTTCCTCAATCCTATACCCGTTAGTGTAGATTATTTTCCTCTCACTGAGGTAGTCCTCCAGGATCCTCACAAGGTATTCAGGGATATTCCTAACTACTAGGGCTTGCATGATGTGTTTCCAGCTGGCAGAATTAAAAGCATTTTTGAAGTCAATTGCAACGAAGGCACAAAAACTCTTATTCCTTCTTGCTGTTTCTGCATGGTGGACTGCTTCTGAGATCGCGTCTATTATCGAGAGTTCTAAATCCAATCTGTCTCGTTGAAAATTGAACATCTCTTTAGTCGTAGAAGGAGCAAACCCTCCAGTAATTTGCTCATCGTATCCAGCAGGCACAAAGGTCTGAACGATGACGTCCGATCGATTGGCTTGTTACCTTTCCTCATGAGAATTAGCTTCTGATGGTTCCAACCCTTATAGAATTTACCTTGTTCAAGACACTGGTTAAGGCTTTCAAAAGTCATTCTGGGTATTCTTTTACAACTATCCCCAGGATCGCGTTGGGAATTCCGTCAGGTCCCGGTGTAGTTCTAATCTTGGTCTTCATCGTCGGGACTAGTTCGTCCTTCGTGAAGCGGTTGGCTTTGTCGAAGAGGTAGTCAGAAGGTCTGCTTATTACCCAGCATTCTCTACTAGGGAAAAGGTATTTGATAATTGCTTTCACCCATGCGCCTTCTAGCCCCGCGGTTGTTGAAGGTTTAAATTTGCCCATAACAATCTTGTAGGCTTTTCCCCAGGGATCGTTGTTCACGTCGTTTAATAGGGCCTTCCAGCATTTTGGTTTGCTTTTTTTAATCTCCGATTTTAGTCTTTTGCGGGTCGTCTTGTAATTTTCCCTCAGCAGAATGTCAGTTTTAGCTCTTGTTGCAAGTCTTCTAGCTTTAACACATTCTTGACGAAGCTCTGCAATAGCGCTGTCCACAATACACCTGATTATTCACCTTTGGGCTCCTACGTCTGGGCATTGAGATGTCACACGTATTTTTAACTGTTTCGCACGTTTTTCGTACTACCTCTTTGAGGGACTCCCTTTTCCTTTTACTCCACCCCATGGACTCCAGTAACTTAGCTTCATCAAGGAATATTATGGCATCAGCTTCTTTTAGCTTTTTGGTGTTCCATGATTGATCGATGTTTGGCTGATTCCTCTTCTAGCTCTATTACCAGCGGATGAAGTGGAGAATTCAATGTAGCGGTGATCGCTAAGTGTTTCAGCGCCGAGAACCTGCCAATCCAGGACATTCTTGGCAATCCTTGTGGTTCCTATTGTTAAGTTTATTATCGAAGAAGCTGCGCCCCTTTGAAATATACATGAGCTCCCTGTGTTTAGGACTACCAGGTCCTTCCTAGCCAGGAATTCGCAAACAATATCGCCTCTGCGATTTCTTTCGCCTGATTCCGGGGACTTGCTGTTAAAGTATCCAGCCAATATTATTTCACCTGGGGCTGAGTTCGTGATTGCCTCCAGTTCATCGATTTGCTTCTTAAATTTCTCTATTCGGTCGTTTGGGGAGAAATAGCAACTATGTATTCTAAGGTTGTCCATTTCTACCCATACAAAACCTTGGTTTGTAACTTAAAATTTAGAGACTTATTTTGGAGTTAAGTATTATAATTCCTGCACGTCTGGTCGTGTCCTGGTAGAGGGATATGTCGTCAATATCGTGCTGCTCGCTGACCAGTAGGACATCCACCTGTCTTTCCCTTGTCGTTTGAATGAGAAGATATTGGGAGGTCTTTCCTTTGCCTAAATTAATTTGAAGGAACCTAGGCATTCTTTGACCGAGTTTCCTTAGTTCTGCAGTGAAGGAAGGGTATTTATAGTTATCCAGCTTATGATTGTCTTCTAGGTTTTGGTCTTTGCTGACAATACATTGAACTGGCCTTCTGCACTCCTTGGCCAAATGTTCTTTTTTGCCACATTTGTAGCATACTTTACTTCTGTCGGGGCCCTTGCAAGATGTGGAGATATGGCCAAAGCCTAGATATTTAAAGCATCTGCTAACCTGGTGCTTCATCCTAACGTGGCAAGTCAGCCAGCCAATCTCAAAATTGTATAGTCTCCAGGTCGCCGGGGGGGGGAGTCCCCAGTAATGCGTGTGACAGCATATCTTACCGCATCTAGGGTAACAGACTCATCGATGTTCCTTAATTCAATTCATGTTAAACGTGTTGATGTTTACCCTATCTCCTATTGCACGGGTGATTGCTTCGTTTAGGGAAGTGGGGTCACAATCTTTCTCCAAGACTATCAGGAGTTCATTTTTACGTGTCCTCCTGATCGTCTGGATATTAGCGTTGTTGCTTCGGGTCAACCGCTTCCTTCTTTCTTTTTAATATTTCGGCATATGATTGCCATTTCGTTAGCTGTCAGTTTGATGGCCTGGTTGGTGGGTCTTCTGTTCCTTGCCTTGGGGGTTTGATTGCCTTCTTTGGTGAAACCCCCCATTTTCTTCACCATCTTCCTGTGTTCCACTTTCTGCCAGTTCTCATCGAGGTTTTGGTTTGGTTTTTCAGTAACCAGCTCTATGACTTCATCCTGCTTTTCTTTCTTGTCTTGTCGTGGACTTGGAGCTCGTCTCTTCTTCTGGGACTGAGCCGTTTTCACCGACTTCTCGTTCATTTGTTTGCCGAATTTGGTATTCTCGGTGTTTTTGTCATTCTCTAGGAGGATTATTTTCTCATACATCCCCTTTTGATCTTCTTTAATGTTTCCCACCTATTCTTTTGGGCATCCACCTCTTCTAGAGCTATAGCCAAGGTGTCCTTCACTAAAACTGGGTTGTTTTTCAGAATGTTGTTGCTGATTATAATTAATTGACTCTGTAGACGGGCAATAATCTCTGAATTGTCTTCCATCAATTTTTGAGTCATCACCCAGTTATCTGATGTCCAGCCCCTCGCATTACTATCCCCTGCCGACGTGGGCTCTTCTTGCACCAGGGTTGCCTTGTCTCCTGTGGGTACACCAGTTGTCGTGGGGGTACTTGGAGGTGATATCCGGAGTTTTGACTTCCCAGAAAAGGGGTTAAAAACTGCTTGCTCTAGGCTTTCGCTTGTCGCAGTATAGTATTTCAGAGACGCATAGCGGTCCACGTCTCTGAGATTGCAGTCGCTGGTTGACGACCTCCGGGGGCCTGCTTGCCCATCCCCGGCTGCCGGTACTGGGGCTCCGATCCCCTGCACCGTAACGGTTGATCCTGAGGGGCCTTCCATCGTGGGTTTCTTTTCGGTGTCACCTTCCCCTAGCATTTTAACGCTGCCGCCAGCGTCTGGATTTGGTCCACAGGTGGTATTTTATTTCCCACCTACCCTCCAGCATGGCTGGTAAGAGCATTCCCCTATCCGCCACCTGGGGACGCGTCCGATGGGAGACCAGCTACTCCCTCGGAATTATTAATATTATTATTGTTATTATTATTATTATTAAACTAATTAATACATTATTTATTAACATTTCATTGCAAAATAAAATGCCAACAGTATTGAAATAACACGCTTGGGTTTTGTTGAGTGAAACAGATGTATTGGAAAATATTCTTTAGAATTGGTAACAGATAATTATAAACAAATGGGTATTCAGATAAAAAGAATTAATTTATGTGAAATGGTAACCACTACAAGTTGATTGTGACATCTTGATTCTGAATTGATTGTAAGATTCCTTATCAATTTGTTGATTCATTTGGTATATTAAATCAGAAGGTACTGGCAGTACTGATTTTGTTTTTATTTTCTTCTATTTTACAGAAGTATTCTGTAGGAATAAGGAGGAGGGCAGTAGAAATCTTCACAACTGTTGCTCATCTTATATCTGCTACATCTGACTACAACAAAGGTGTCACCAAAACTTTACTAAATCCTGTGTTGCCATCATTTTGTATGAAGTTCATTCAAGGTCTTCAGATACCTGATGGTGTATTATGTGATTCTGGCTTAAAGACTGAAATTATTAAAGGTAAGTCAATTGTAGCTTAAAGTGCAGGTGAATATGAAAGTGTTGTTCTTTTTTTGAAAGCTTAATTGAATACTTGTAAATACGTATTTGCTTTGAAAGTTTCTTTATGTGTATGATATATCTTTTGATATTCCAGCACTAACTGCTTTGGTGAAAAACTTCCCAAAGCAAATGAATAAATTCCTCCCACAAGTACTACAGGGTGTCTGGCATACTCTTACTCATAGTGCTGATGTGTACCTCAAGACTGTCATCAGTGACACTGAGAATACTGATTGCAGTGTTGATTCCGATGGTAATTAACCATTTAATGAGAACCTATTCTAATTGTGTGTATGTATTGTTGTGTGTTGTAATGGGTGTGTATATGTACAACTATAATATTGAAGATAGAGATATTTTCCTTAATGACATCTGTTTCTTGAAGTCAGATTGTGAAATAAAGTCATGTTCATTTTTTTCTTCTCTGTATTGGAAATATTATACATTTTATTAAAAATATATATACATTTTTAAGCGTTGGCGCAAGTTAAACCTTACCATGCTTCTGTTACATAGAGATATGACTGACGGTGAATTAACTAAGAGGACCTGGTTCAAATCTCAGTGCAGAAAATAATTTTTACTAGTTGAAAACTCTGTTGTATTATTATGAACTAGTAATATATAGCAGAGCATTTAGAAATAATGTGAGAAAATGTATTGTTGTAGTTCCGCTAGTTTCACTTATGCTGCCACTAAACTAACCATTAGTGAAACATTTCAATTAAACTTTTGTGCTTATGGAATTGTTTTTGCAATTATATTTTTCTAAAACTAAATGGTCTTGAATTTGGAATTATACTTCTTCAAGAAAGTATTATGAAGAAAATTTTTTTAAACTGAGAAAAATTTTAATTTCTAATATTTTCAAATATAAAGTTATTGAATATTTAAACTCGATTAAACTGAAAAAAATCATTCTTAAGAAGAGTTGGAGAGAATTTCGAGTTGGAAAGGAGTTAAAAATTCTTGTTTTAGTTTGAAATCTATCTTAAAAAGGTTTTACGTTACTTCACTTAGAAGCACTTTTCACATTCTTACTTGACTATGTAGATAAGTTAAGGCAGATAAATTTGCAGATCCCAGGGAAGAGAAATTCAGGTAGCCTGTTCTTGGACACAGTTTTCTTGCTGGTCATGAAGAGCAAATGGGCGAAAAAATAATAAAAAAATAGAAACAATGCTCTGAACACAAAATCTTAATAGTACCATTACACTATTGATTTTATTTACTTCAGAGCAAAAGGAACCATATGCACATAAGGAGAATTGTTGTACAAAATTGTGTCAACCATTGCAATGTAATGTGTTCATTGATACATTGCAGGCTGGTGGTGCCATAGAATGCCATCCTATACTTTAATTTAATTGTAGTGACTTCTGACTTTTGATTAGCTGGATGCAGTTACCCAGTTGGACCTTTGTTACAACATAAGTTTTCGTATTGAAGTTCCTGATTGGATAACATCCCAGCTGATTGAACGTCAGAAGTCACAACCATCTTTACCTATTTGAAAACAATGAAAAATCTTTAAAATATACTCAGCAAAATAAATATAAGGGGCCATGGAATGATCAATGAGGGCTAGGGATCCCATAAAGTTGTAGGTTCTCAAAACAAGAATGGATGCCTTCCAAGTGAGAATGCTGTGATGGGAATTGTCACTAGCAATCTTCTCTTTTTGGGCACAAGATGATGAGAATACTTACCTGTCTTTCACAATGTGTTAATACAGCTTCATATTGATTTAATGTAATATGCCCAATTCATAAATTGATTACTGTATTGACCTGATTGTAAGATGAACTTTCTTTCCCTTTTTTCGTATTTCAAAAATTGATCCTTGGCTTAGAATCGGAATTGTGTTACTAGAATGTAGAGGACACCAGATACCCGTAAAGATATCTATTTTTTTGGCGGTCATGCAGCCGACTCGAGAAAGTACGGATAAAACCTGCATGAAGCCACCAAATGTTGTAATTTGAATTATATAATTGTCTGATTGAAATCCTTGGTGACTGTTGGAGTATAGTGGTGTTGCCATTCGTGTCATGCACGTGGTTCCGGCCACCAAGCTCAGGAACAACCCCAGCAGTCATTCTTTTTCAGTGGTCTTGGGCTAGTTTATCGCAAGTGTGTGCTTGGTGAGATGCTGCCTGAAAAAGTATTCCTAGAGAAGTTGTCGCAAGGGCTTTTAAAAAGTGTTCAATCTCAAATGCCCTTGATGGCAGACTTTCTTTTCAGGGACTACAGTAAGAGTCCATGGACACCAAGAGTCAAGTAAAGAATCTGAGTCATCTGATGACGGCATCTGAGTTAATGATCTCTAAAATGTATAGAAATCAGTGGCCCTAGTGCGTTAAGCATCGAATGTGATTCTTACATTTAAATAAGTAATATCTGTTTTTGTTTGTTCGTGATTTCTTGGGGTTGGCTTACAATCGGTGTGGAGTAAATACTGTAATTGATTCAACTGATATTGTGAATTGAGAGAATGTTGCATAATTTAAGTCTAATGTTTTTATTGAAATAATACTAAGAAAAATGAATATTATTGGAGTCAATTAAAATTCCTGTTACTGAATTAATGCTTTATATATTTGTATTTGTACAGGTGAAGTACTGGGTATTCCCAACTTGGTGCTAAGTATATTTGAATTTATACATGCTGTTGTGGACTGTCCCAAATTTTCTCAGGCTTTAGAAAATGGCCTTTCAGATCTTTTTTATTATCTCATTCTCTTTATGGAAATAACTGAGGAACAGGTAAGAAGCATATTTGTTATTTATGTAATTTATAAAATATATATGTAATTTATAAAATTTACCCCTCTGCTTTTTTTCAGTGGCCAGGAAAGCTTTTAATTTTTTTTTTGTTTTTTAGCCTACATCTAATATACGCAAATACTTTGCAGGTTCATGTATGGACAACAAATCCAAATCAATTTGTTGAAGATGAAGATGAAAACACATTTGCTTATTCTGTAAGAATTTCTGCACAAGATCTTCTTTTAACATTGTGCCAAGAATTTGAAGACCAGAGTTATGCAGCGCTGTGTCAAGCTTGTACTCGGCATTTAGCTGAAGCAAAAGAAGCTCAGAATATGTGCAATCCTAACTGGTGGAAAGTGCACGAGGCGTGCATGTATATGCTGGGTTCTGTGAAAGATTTGGTAAAAGAGAAGTTGCAAGCTGGAAATACCCAGTATGACCTTGTTGGGTTTTTGGAATCCGTTGTCATGCCTGACATGAATTCATCTGGTGAGTAAATGCTTTGAATTTTGTGAAGGTACAGTAGTGTTTATGCGACAAATGCCTTCTTTTTTAATCGTGTACTAAAAAGTAGTAAAATGTGTATATATGTACTATTATACTATTTAGATATCTAAAGTAAAAGAAACAAATATGTAACATACTTCCAAAGCATTTATGTAGGCCATTTAATTCAATTCTGTTTATTCATCCAATAATTGTTCTGATGTTAAAATGATTTTGAAGTCAATGATTATTTCACATGGTGTGGCTCAGGCCATCAGAACTGCTCTTCTGCCTTACCATGCAAATTTTGCTATTCTCCTCTCGCCGTGTAGCAGCAAAAGAAGGTAACACTTGTGCAAGAAAACAGACCATTAGAATTTTGCTACAGGCTTCTTTTGAGCTTGAGGATGTTTTACATGTTGCAGAGAACAACTGTGGAACTGAATCGATGCATTTTTTATATCCATCGTTGTTGAAAACGGCCAAAATTTATTTTTGACCCTTCCAGTGATACAATTTTCTTCAGGGAATCTTAACAAATACTTACATACTCAAGTGAAAAGAGTTAAATGAAGTGATGCAACTTTACCTTTCATATCATGTGTGTTTCATTAATATTATAAAGACTTGGTTTTTAACACCTCATGTGCAAACAGTGCTGATGTACAATTTATTTATTGATTTTTGAATTTCTGAAATAGTGGGTTCGGGTTTTCCTTCTAATGCATTGCATAACAGTTGGGTTAATGAGATGTTAATTAGTTATTAAAATATTACTGTGCGATACTTGAATTGGTTTATTTCAACTGGAACTTCAAATATATTCCTGGAGGAGAAAAGAAGACAATCAACATACCAATTGTTTCTTGTGCATAAAACCGTCTTCAACATCTGAAAAATATATCACAGAATTTCATTTTAAATAAAGCAAAATACATGAAATTATGAATTAAGTATTTGATTTTTAATTATATTTAAGTGAAATGTATAATTATGGAATTTATCAAACCCTGAAAAAGGCCATATTTTCATTCAAAGTTTGAGTGGCATATCTTGTTACTTCCCCTAGCCCTTCACTGTATGATTGATTTGATATTTTCTGTCATCCAGTACTGATATAAGAACTATATACTTCCAACTGGTGATAAATTAATATAACTCGAGTTAGTAGCAAGCAAGATAAATTATTTTTATTTCCAAGAATCAGCTTGTTTTACTGAATGCAAATCTTTCACGTCTTATTCTTTTGAAATTTGTCATTAATGAATTGTTTTAGGTTCACCTCTTCTTCTTGGCCGTTGTTTATGGGTGGGCAGTCAGTATGCTCACTTTATGTCAACTCCAGTCATTGAACAATTTCTACAAGCAACTGTGGCAGGGCTTCAACCAAACCAAAGTGCTAACATTCGCATATCAGCTGTCAGGTTCGGATTATTATTTTTATATTTGAAAATAATTCTCTTGCTTGTCTTTGTTGTGCTTCATTAATTGAGGAAGCCTATGGTCTTTTTTTATTCTGTGATGTTGAGTAAGGTAGGTAAAAAGATTTTGGAGACCTAGCAGTTTCAGCTCTGGTCCAGGAAATGGGCGTAAACATGACTTGGGCCTTTAAGCCACGAAACCAAAGGGATGGAGAGATACTTTCTCATTCCTTGCCCTTGAGGCCATTCAGGTTCTCCTGGAGATCCAGAGTTGGAACAATCTGGAAACTCCTGTGCTGGAAGTTTCCCATGCTAACTGTTTCAGGGATTTTGGAGGGTTTTTGTCCTTTATTATGCTCATAAATTAATTGATTTTTTAGACAAAAATAAAGATTTTGTATGTAGGGACAAAGATTTAAGTGTTCATTTTTACCTGCTGGTGTCTTTGTAGCCTTGCTAACCTTATCAAATTAATTAGTTGTCTGCTGTATATCTGAGTCACATTAGTGCCTCTAAATTTCCCCAATTTAATTTTCTTCTCTATTACGCCTCATTTGTAAGTTTTACTGTCTGTTTATTGTCTTTCAGTTTTCTGTACAAATGCTATAAAAATGGTCTTAGTATTTTGAGTTTTAATAAAGATGTTTATTCTTGTTATTAGTATTATCATTATTATGCAAACTGACACCTAAGGTGCTGTGCTTGTCTTAGTGTGAATTTAACGCTAATGTCAGTCTCGCCATTGAACTTCAGTTTCTTATATATTTAAATTACCTATTGACCTTAACATGTTTCTCTAACTATGCCTGTGATTAATGTAAACTTGTATGTGCTCCCCTTACCCCACATCTCTTATTGTATAATCCCAAATACTCTTCAGAAATGTATTGTGTGCCTATTGACATAATGTCAATAATATGTTTATTGAAAATCTATATCTGGGGGCTAAATAAAAAGTAGTTACATTGTGGCAATTCTTATGAGACTTTTTAACTGAGGAAATACAATTTCCAATATTTCATTGAAGTCTCTTGTGTACACTACGACTTTCCAAGAGCTTGTGGAAACTAGTTCAAATGTATCTTGCCTTTTGCTAGCTCCATCACATTCATGGTGAATTAGCTAGTTATTATTGCACAGTTGTAGTTGGAGTCACTGTTCTTATATAAATATTCTGTGTGAACAGTAATAAAATCATGTGACCATGTTTGTCAGAAACTTGCTTGCTTATAAATTGCGCATGCCTCATTTTTAAGTTTATTTATTTATTTATGGTCATCATTGCAATATTCAACATGTCCTGTTTGTACTTTCAGAGCTGTCTATGGGTTTTGTGAGCATTTGAAAATGTCCAATAATAGCCACATGCTTGTTGGTGTTCTCCCATCTATTTTGGACAACATTCTTAGCATGGCTACACAATATTCATGTGAAGTTCTAAGTTTAGTTTTGGAAACATTGGCAGTTGTATTGGCTGTAAGTATAGGACTTATTTGTACATTTCTATTAAGATTTTATTATGATAGTGCAGGCATGGGCAACTTTAACTTGGATCAGATCTACTTATAAATAAAAGCCAAGGTGATCAACCATTGCCCATTTGAATGTTATTAGGGGGGGCCATTGGCTTTTACAAAACAGATCCTGTTGAAATGTTATTTGTTTACCCAATTATGCATAAGCATTACAACAAAATGGATCTCTAAATTTTCTGTTGTTTTTTTTCATGTGATGTGTGTGTGCATATCATGCGCCAAAATCTGATAATCGGGTGTACCATTGTGAAAGAGTGAATTGTAAAACAAATTGACACAATAATATGCTGCATTCTACTTGTTGCCCAGGTCTGTCATAGTGTAATGTTTATTTTAGGGGAGATCTAGATATGAACCTTAAGTGTTTTAAAAAATTAAATTTTAATGTGTCCTACAGCCTTAAATTCTGGTCTCCAGGACTAAAGGTCTTGAGTTATAGTCTTCATGACATTATCTACGAATAAGCTATTTGGGGGGCCTTCTATTACATTCTTTAGTGTTCAGCTTTTCTGGGTACCATTTTGTGGTAAGAGTAGATTGTGCACTATCTTAAATTCTATTAAAAGCAGTGGTGGTTTCTCAGGGGAGGGGAGGGAAGAAAGTTCTCACATGTTTTTCTTCTGAATGTAGTTACCAAATAAAATATTTGCTTTGATGTGAGAGAGGAAAATGTACAATTTTTTAATAGATAGATATGAGGAAATCTACTTTAAATGTGTTTTAAACAATGTGCACTTTGAAGCACCATTAAATAGATTCAAAAATTGCTTTGAGGAGAATCTAACAGCTTTTCTTGCTCTTGTTTGTTAATGGGCCATATCTTGCACCACTCCTGTGTTTTGAAGAGGAAATGATTATTGAAATGCAACTGTACAAAGGATCTCCTCCTCTCTGGCACTTCCTTCATCTCTGTCAATTATATCAACACTTCACAGTACACAGGGTTGCCTGTACATGGTGTTATCTCACATGGATTACTGGAAGCCCTGGTGATCCAAACTGATAAACCTTTCTCTCTTACCCATTGCAAGTCAACACATGTGATGTAATTGGTTGTGTTCCATTTAAATTATGCATTTGACATCTTTGCCTTTCTTCTTCAAAGAAAAATGCTACAGTGCTACTAATTAAAACTCATTTTGCTAACACATGGATTCATATGGGTTTGGGAGTTCTTAAGACATATCCTTAGGAATATCTGGATTGAGGTTGGTTGGATTTCCAATTGCAAGAGTTCTTGCATGGGTATGCTAATAATTAATCTACCTCTATGTTTTTTAGTATATTTTATCTCTCTTGCTCTGTGTACAATATTCAATAAATATTACATGTACTAATGACTTTTTTTAATCTTGAGAATTATTGAAATTTTTTAAAAAGATTGTCATTTCACCTAGAATCATTATTAGCACTGGAAAGCATATAAATCTACCTTAATTAAACCAATTTCACCAAACTGCTCTTCAAATTATACAGCACTGTAATACTTGTTAAAAAAATATTGTGTCAAATGTATGGCTAAATTAATATGGGAAGAGATAGGGTTGTATGACACCACAAACTAGAAATAGAAGGTTTAAAACAAGGCTAAACGTATTGAATTGGGAAAAGGTCACGGTTATAATGTTTGTTTATTTGTTTGTGTGTTTGCTTGTTTTACACCATACATTAGAGCACACACACTCAAACTGGAATGCAGTGCACCTTGGTATGCTTTGCAGACTCGTGCACACCTCATCCTCTTAACTTTGTGTCAATCGTAGTTTTTGGTATGCTAGGTATGTCACAAGGATATTTAAAATTTATTAAGCATATTTATATTCCTGTGAAGGAAAAAAATATCGTGTAAAAATCCTATTTAATGTATGTATGTATGTTCCTTATGAAAATAGCCATAAGCAAAAATTGTATTTTCAATTTGTGAAATGTTTTGTCATGTTATGGAAAATAAAATAAAGGGTGGTAAGTGGCTTCTTTGAATTGTGTGAGTTTCCAAAACATCATTCAGTAAGTTTCATTTGTGCAACAGAGTAATTTGTGGGCGATGTCTGATTTATAACTTTCACTTCCACGCTGATGCTGATCTTTAATTCATATTGGTCCTTTCTGATGTGTCATCTGTATAACAGTTGCAATGTAATGTTTCTTTTCAAATAAATTATATGGTAATATATTGAATACTGACATTCTGCACCATGAATTTTTCAGATAGATCGAGGGGTTACTGTCCAGTATACATCCAAAATAACTTCTCTTGCCATTGCTGTCTTCCTGAAGTTTAATTCTGGTATGTTTGTTTCATTGTCTGTTTCACACAGTGAATGTCTTGTTCCAACCCTTCATTTCTTGTTTAAAATAACTAATTTGTTTTTAAAGGTTCTCTAGTTGTGAAAAGAAAAAAAACAAAACATTTATATATTGTCCAATTATTTTTATAGAGATAATCAATGTTTAGTATTTCATGTGCTTAGTGTATTATTTTACTTTGAGTTGAGTGAATCGGTTTTATTTCTTTTGTTAAGACCCTGTCATTGTGGAGTTATCTCAGGATCTCTTCAAGGAGCTTTCACAGAATCCAGAGTGCCTGGGGCCACTCCAACAGCGATTGGTGCCTACGCTAGTAAGCATCTTAGGGGCACCTCCTGAGAAAATATCTGCAGGTGTGTTTGATTTCATGATTTTTTAGTCACGAATTTAGACACAGATATTTAGGTTCATAGTGTATAAACTAATGGACATATAAAACTATTAAGATTTACAAACCTTTACATCTTAATATAAAGGCAAATACAGTTACTCTCCCACAGACCTTGAGCAGTATTACTCCTTTCAAATGTAGTTAGTCTTTCCTGATTTCAAAGACCCAATGTATATTACCATTGAAATAAATAAAGAAAAAAAAAAGAAATGTATTCATGGGCTTAGCCGAGTTTTTCATGGTGAAAGGGATGAGAGTTAAAAATTACTAATTTTTATTAATTGAATGGTAGTGAAATAAAGTTATAATTACTGGCATTAAAATACAAATTTATTTATTTATTTATTCAAACAGCAACAGAAAACTGTTATAGCTCCAATCAAGATATTTAACATTTTTGAATCAATTTAGAGTTAAGTAAATGTTAATGACTTATAATATAAAATCACTTAATTTATATTTAAACATTAACTTTAATAAGTTATTGATAAAGTTTTATAAAAAAAAAATTATACCTTTTTTTTACACTAGTTTGTTACATTATAAGCAAAACACATATTTTGTAATATAATGCAAGACTAACACAACTAACAAACTGTTAAGGGAATGTGGAATGCCCTATCCTGACAATATTAAATTTTTGAGTAAAATTCTCAAGAGTCAATTGAAGTTAGACTTACGAAATGTTTACAGGCAACTGAAACATCTCTCATAATCACACTGAAATAATGATTTTTAAAAATGTTCAATATTTTTGTAGGTATAAATATTTTTTCATTTAGTGATTATTTTTAGCTTGTTTTCAGTTAAATCATGAGATACCCACAGTTAAACATCAGTTAACACTTATTTTTTAAACGTAAGGAGGTTAAATTTTGTAACAGTGCATCAAAAGAAAAATAATACGTGGGCTGCCATTACATGAAATGAGTTGAAACTAGTGCTGTTTATATTACTATCACAAGTTGCAGAGCAATGTAAATTCCATATGAATCACCAAGATGAGAAATTCCAAATGTCCATTTTTTAGGAGGGACAAAAAAATATTTTTAGTGGTAAGATCCAGCATGCTCATTTTTTATCTGATTTAATTTCTTATCTAAGTTTCCTCTGTGAGCGAGTTTGACTCGTGCTGGGCTGACTGGCTGACATTGAATATGAAAATTCAAACACTTAATATTTACCTAATGACTTAATAATAAATTAATAAGATTAATTGCATATGATTACACTATGTTATTCTATTTTATATGAATTTTATAAATTTCAAAAGATTTAGGTAGGGGGACAACTGCCTCTGACTATGCCCATAATGTATTCATTTTCATTACATAATGTATTGCTGTAATTTAAATAATACATAATTTTAAAATGTAAATGGTATAATTGTGATTCTTGACATTGCTTATGACTGTGTAGTTTAAAAGTGACCTTAAGTAAAATAAGTTTTGTAAAAAAAACTTATTGGATATTTGGAAATATTTAGGGGTTCATGAAATGGTACATGCATTGCAAAATTCGATCAAAGGCGAGTTGATACTTCTTGAGGAGAGAAGAAATGCTGATTAATGAGGAAGAATGACATCAAAAAAGTTGTCAAACATACTATGAGAAGAATATTTTTAATGTGTTATTCCATATATTGGGTCTGTTATTGTTATCAACTTAGTTAGCCCAATATAGAGCAAATAGTGGAAATAGTTGAAGTCTATAAAGCTTTATGTTCAATACTTGTTGTAATATCACCTTTTTATAACAAAAATTCTCTATAACAATAATTCTATATGGATACAGTATTAGACTTGACAAGTATCGTGCCTTTTTTTTTTTTTTTTTTTTTTTTTAAAGATAAGAAAGAAAATCTTGCAATGGTGATAAACCGCGAATGGCAGCTATTACATAAATATATATAACTACATGCAAATTATATAAATATATAATAATGATTAGACAGCTAATAAAACAACAAAGAAAATAATAATAGTAGTAGTTTTTAGTAGTAGTAGTAGTGGTTAGTAGTGGTAGTGGTAGTGTAGTGGTAGTGGTAGTGAGGGTAGTTGAGGTGAAGACAGTGTATGGTAGTGGTGGAGTGGGTAGTTGGTAGTGTAGTTGGTAGGTAGCGTAGTTGGTGATAGATGGGTTAGGTCTAAGATAGTTGTAGTAGTAGTAGTATAGTGTGAGTTAAGTAGTAGTATAGTGTAGTTAGTAGATAAGAGCAGTAGTAGTTTTTTGGGGTAAGTCGTAAGTACAGAGTAGTAGTGTAGTAGTTATAGAGTAGTAGTGTAGTGAGTAGTGCAGTAGTAGTTAAGTAGTAGTAAGTAGTAGTAGTTATAAGTATATAGTAGTAGTAGTAGTAGTAGTGTAGTAGTAGTAGTAGTGTAGTAGTTAGTAGTAGTAGTGTGTGAAGTAATGTGAGTAAGTAGAAGTATTTTAGTAGTAGCTAGTATAGTTGATAGTTATTGAGTAGTAGTGATAGTGGTGAGTACAGTAGATGAGTAGTAGTAGTAGTAGTAGTAGTATAGTAGTAGTAGTAGTAGTTTTAGTAGTAAGCCCAGTACAGTAGTAGTATCAGTAGTTATAGTTTAGTCAGTAGTAGTTAGTAGTAGTAGTGAGCTATAGAGTGAGGAGAGTAGTAGTAGTAGTAGTGAGTAGTGTTAGTAGTATAGTAGTATAGTTAGGTAGTAAGCTAGTAGTGAGTGAGTAGTAGTAGTAGTAGTAGGTGTAGTAGTGTATAGTAGTAGTCAGTAGTGAGTAGTGAGTAGTAGATAAAGTTTAGTTTCATAGTATAAGTAAGTGAAGAAGCCAGTAGTGAGAGTATGTAGGTTACAGCGGAAGAGTAGTAGTTATTAGTCTAGTAAAGTTAGCTAGAGTAGTGTAGTGGAGTCGAGGTAGTACGGTGAGTGAGTAAGTACGATATAGTTAAGTAGTAGTAGTAGTGTTGTGTAGTAGTAAGTAGTGAGTAGTAGTAGTGTAGTGAGTAGTAGTAGTAGTATGTAGTTAGTGTAGTAGTAGTAGTAGTAGTAGTATAGTATAGTGTAGTGTAGTTAGTTTTAGTATAGTAGTAGTAGTAGTATAGTAGTAGTAGTAGTAGTAGTGGTGGTAGTTAGTAGTTAGTTGAAGTGAGTCTAGTAGTGTAGTGAGTCAGTTTAGTGTAGTAGTTAGTATAGTTGATGAGTGAGTAAGTAGTTGTAGAATCTCCTCTCTCTTCCTTT